TGGTGGCGCTTCCGGTTATACCTACCGGAAATTGATGACAGCTTGTCTATTTTGGCTGAGTCACGCTATATAGAGTCTACACAAAATTTTAGGCAAATTTTATGTTTAATATCTCATACCTAAGTCTAATTGTTATATTTCGTGTCAAAAAAATACGTGTGCAGACTTTAGCATAAATATGAATTTCTCATACATAAAAGCCGCTATTATTTAATCAGGCAATCCCAACGACCTCTGTATTTTAACCTCCTTACCACTTACCCGAGTCTTTATCCATTAATCTTCCATTTGTCATGACAATAACTTAGATTTTTCTAATATTCCATCAATGTGTGAGTTTATCATGGTCCTTAGTTTCCATACAATTTTTCATATATTTTTTTTTGTGGTATTCTACTTTGGACGGAGATTTCAGGTCAATTGTTATAATTATAATTGATGTTTTTTTATTTACAGCTGACACAATCCGAGATATTCGAAGTGGAAGTAATAGTGGAACCCAACCCACCTCACTCAAGCCAGTGCTCACACAAGAGTCTGGGGAACAGGCAGACGAAGCTCCGTCGTAATTGGTAATGCGCAAAACATACGGAGCTCCGTCTGTCTGCTCCTCAGACTCTTTTGTGCTCACAGTTGAAAAGCTCTGAACCTTCATAAATCCTGAAATGGGATATAACGTACAAATTGGACTTGTACGAAACGATTCTCAGCTATACGAAGACTACTCCGTTTCGTTAGCAAGCATCGATGAGTTGCAGTTGCCGCAGATATTTGACGTTGACCAATATCTTTCGGTATGAGGTTCGAGGCTAACATGACGTATTACATTGCGGTGAGGGCAGTCGACGCATTAGGACGTATAAGTGTGATAAGCGATACCAGAGTAATACAATGTTAAAGACTGTATAGTTGAGAAAACGTATAATTTTTATTACAACAGGTAACATTGTACACTGTAGCTTTTTCAAACTGACTAGAACTAAGGTTTCATGTCTAAATGTAAATTCATAATTTAGACAGTAGAAGATTACACAAATGAGAGACACGATCCTTAAATAAGCACAGGTTAAAATTTATTTTATCGTATTGTTGTATTCGGATGTTATTAATTATTAGTTAACGTTGAAGATATGAAACCTTAGTTCTACTCAGTCTGATGAAGCTACAGTGTAGTGAAACATAATATCACTGTTGTAATAAAGTATAGTTAAAATATAGTAGTAAAAGTCAGTTTTACTTTTTTCCTAATTTGAATCGTATCGGCTCAGGCAATTCAAGCACACAAATAGAGTTCGGTTAATCCTCCTCGAGTGAAAAGATGACAACCCCATGTGACTAATTTTGCAGCTTCAAATGAAAGATCACGCGAGCTTCTGTCAACAATGTCATCTTTAAGCTCGTGGAGGATTAATCGAACTCACCTGATGTTAAAGACTGTGGTGATAAAAAAAAACATGTGTGCAAAATATATGTACATATTTCAAGTGAAACTTCTCACGCTTAAGCTAAAACAGCTGAAATAAATTTAAATGCCATCCTACTGTATATGAGTGTCAAGCAGTTGACAAGTAGACTCAGTAGGTACGCATTGAATTTACCATTTTGATTAGGTATGCAATGATATATTGTGAACCAGTGCAGCAGTCATTTGAATGAAATATTGCGAACCAGTGCATCAGTCATTTGACACTCGTTCTGAAGTGTCGGTTCGAACTGAACTAAGTTCTGGAATAGCTTTTACACAGAGTAAACAAGTTACTAAATGAAGGTGTTTTCGGAAAAAGGCTCGGACACGTCGATTTTGTTTTTTTGCTCGAGATTTTTTCACACCAATGGTACTAATGTCAATGGGGGCAACCCGGCTAAAATATTTTCAAGATGGTGGTACTTCCGGTTATACCGGAAGTAGATGTCAACTTGTTTATTTTGAATGAGACGCCCTGTATATGATTGCATATTTGGATTCTAAGTAAAATTCTGAGTAGATTCTATGTCAGATATTCTATACCTAAGTTCAACTGTTTTGGAAATATTGACAGTTGAAAATTGACTTTTTGCAACTTTGACACGCTGTAAAACCTAAACGGTTAACTTTAGAGGAGAACCAATTTTACATTCCTATCTTAGAATTTCATAAGCTATCATTTGACACCAACTTTGAATTTAATCCATGATTGAAAATTCCAATTAAATTGAATCTCCGGTTTTTTTCAAAGTTGGTGTCAAAAGATAGTTTATGAGAATCCAAGACAGAAATGTAAAATCGGTTTTCCTCTAAAATTAACCGTTTAGGTTTCACAGCCTGTCAAAGTTGCAAAAAGTCAATTTTCAACTGTCAATATTTTCAGAACAGTTAACAGTTGAACTTAGGTAAAGGGTATATCACATGATATCTGCTCAGAATTTTACTTAGAATCCAAATATGCAATCACATGCAGGTTGTCTCATTTTAGAAAAGCAAGTTAGAGTCTACTTCCGGTATAGCCAGTAGTGCCACCATCTTGAAAATATTTTAGCCGGGTTGCCCCCATTTGACATTAGTATATTGTCAAATTTTCAAAAATTTTCTGCATAGAGTTTTTGATATACAGAGTGAGTTTTAAGTATGCATCGTCTCGATTTTCTCGAAAACGCGGCTTGCACGATTTTTATGAATTTTGGTGTGAACAAGTATTGCAATATGGCAGATAATATGGCAGTATTTGCAAGGTTGTCAGATCTCTCGTTTTTCAGGAAATATCTGAAACTTTGTTTTTTCAAATGGATCACTCCGTATATTATGACATTTCTAGGTTCTGCGGAAAATTCTAGACATATTTCATGTACAATGTCATATACCTATCTTCGACTGTTTCGGAAATATTGACAGTTGAAAATTGACTTTTTTGCAACTTTGACAGGCTGTGAAATCTAAACGGCGAATTTTACAGCCAAACCTATTTGACATTCTTGTCTGTAGCTTTTGTATGATCGATTTTGCTGTAAAATCGACCGTTTAGATTTTACAGTCTGTCAAAGTAGTGAAAAAGTCTATTTTCAACTGTCAATCATTCGGAAACAGTTGAAAATAGGTATATGATATTGCACATGAAATATGTCTAGAATTTTCCGCAGAACCCCGAAATGTCATAATATACAGGGTGATCCATTTGAAAAAACAAAGTTTCAGATATTTCCTGAAAAACGAAAAATCTGACAACCATGTAAATACTACCATATTATCGGCCATACTGTAATACTCGTTCACACCAAAATTCATAAAAATCGTACAAGCCAATTTTGAGATAATTGAGACGTTCCATACTTAAAACTCATTCTGTATAGATCGATTTGGTTCCCGGTGGGACACCCTGTATAGTATTAAGACATTTCTGGATTCTGCGGAAAATTATAGATTTAGGGTATGTACCCTTATCAACTCTCAGTCCTGAATTTACTAGACGCCGTTCCGATATTCTTTTCAGTCCACTGATCCAGTTCTGAATGACGTCCGAATGCGCCAGTAACGTCATTAATATTTACTGGATCGACTGACTGTAGCCAAAAAGCCAAGAAATTAACCTTTCACGTTTTACATCCTGTCAAGGTTGCAAAAATTCAATTTTCAACTATGGATATTTCCGAAACAGTTGAAGATAGGTATGACATTGTACATGAAATATGTCTAGAATTTTCCGCAGAATCCATAAATATCATAATATACAGGGGGTACTATTTAAAAAAATAAAGTTGATAACCGTACAGCTGTTCTTGGAACACCCTGTATAAAAAAAAAAAGTTGTAAAAAAATCTCTAGCAAAAAAACAAAATCGACGTATCTGAGCGTTTTTTCGAAAACGCCTTCATTTATTTTATATTGAATTTGCCCTATACTTCATGTTCACTCTGTATAATCCGAATCAATTATTATAATCTCGAGACTATTGAATGGGATTTTCTCTAAATTTATCGATAGTATTGATAGTTAGGGCGCGTTCTTTTATTCAGCAATGGATCCATCTGCTGCCATCATTAGAAGACAAACATTTCTATTTTCTATGAGCTAGACAAAGAAAGGCTGATTACTGATGGATCCACCGCTGAATAAAAGAAAGCGCCCTTATTGTGATGCCATCTATTATTAACGTCAAAAATTACAGTCGTCATCCATCTGTAATACAGTGACGTTTTTGACATCATTCAGCAACGCCATGTTGTATCGTGACGAATTTTCGTATCCCTAGCTTGTGCGTCACGACCTTGAAATTTTACTCTCCGCGCGTTGAGGAGTTTCACTTTAAAAATGAACGATAATAATAAGAATAAATTGATCCAGGCAGCTATTGGATTGATCTTATGTGATAGTGTATACAGACAAGACCAGGCTACTTGACACATAAGCTTCAGTGGGACCAGTTGACTGATACCAATTTTGCAATGCATGCAATTTCACTGCAGGATTGTCACAGTGGATCATTGATCGACCCTGCAAGCTTTTAAAATTCGTGCATCTTCGGCAGCTCGGCTTTAATCATATTATTATTACTCCTTATGTGTCTAGTTGGTTGGTCCAGTCTGTATATGAATTTAATTTATAGGAAACTAGAATAGTGAGGGTACTAAGCACAACATCCGCAGATATTTAGAATTAATAGACAAGGAAAGCAATGGTAGATATTTGAGAGTAGGTTGTTAAAACCTTATGCCTTCCATATGCTTTCCACCTGAATATAGGATCGTGGATTAATATGTCATGATGTATACATAAATTTCTTTCAATTAATTTGCAATAAATAATTTAAAATAGAACCTATAAATACTGAATAGGTTTATTTTATAGAACATTATCATTTAGAAGACTTGTTAGGTCTTCCCGATATGATTGAATACACGAAAAACTTTACCTATTTGCAACTCTATTACTAGAGATATTAGTGTCAAGTTACTTAAAAGCTACTTACTGAAACTAATTATTTACAGGGTGTCTGGTTATAGGAAACTAGAATAGTGTAGGTACTAAGTCACAACATCCGCAGATCTTTAGAATTATTAGACAAGGAAAGCAATGGTAGATATTTGAGAGTAGGTTGATAAAACCTTATGCCTTCCATATGCTTTCCACCTAAATATAAAATCGTGGATAAATATGTCATGATGTATACATACATTTCTTTCAATTAATTTGCAATAAATAATTTAAAATAGAACCGTTAGATACTGAATAGGTTTATTTTATGGAAGATTATCATTTAGAAGACTTGTTAGGTCTTCCCGATATGATTGAATACACGAAAAACTTTACCTATTTGTAACTCTATTACTAGAGATATTAGTGTCAAGTAACTTAAAAGCTACTTACTGAAACTAATTATGTACAGGGTGTCTGGTTATAATTTGACACCCCACCGACAGCCTCCACCTTTACAGGTAGAAGATACGCGTGGTGAATACAAAAGTCGTATAGTTTCATCTCAATTTTTAGAATCCATCATCATAAACAAAAATTTGAAATTTTATGTGCTTTCAACTTTTTTCAAATGGAATGACCTGTATTTGGTTCTATACAGGTTTGGCATGCCAGCATCTTACGGGCCCATTTTAATGCAATTGAATGAAATGCCGAGAATAAGTCTAAGGTTACGTAGGGAACGAACACAATTTCCCCTATTCCATCTCCAGCATGGAGCGCTGGGAATGCTGAAGGTGGAACAGGGGAAATCGTTTTCGTTTTCTATTTAACCTTAGACTTTTTCTAGACATTTCATTCTATTGTATTAAAATTAGGCCTGTAAGATGTTCACTTGCCAGAATGGTTTACTTGAAGAGGACAATCTTTTGATTACAAAAATATATAGTTTGTAATTAGGGTAACGGATCAATTAAGGTTCGATTGAGAAGTGTTTTCTCTCTGTAGGATCAGCCGTGGACGTGTTTCGCTGTATTGCAGCTCACCAGCACAGTTGGGTCCCGCTGAGAGAAAACACAACCCATTATTGGTTCGATCCCGGAACTGTCTATTAAGCTGTTCAGAAGAAGAGTCTCCATCTATTTACCAATCAGCAGCAGATTAGTCGGTTTAAGAAACCCAAAAACTTGATTTTAATTAGGGTTATGGACCAATTAAGCACCGATTGGGAAGTGTTTTCTCTCTGCAGGACCATCCGTGGACGCGTTTCGCTGTATCACACATATAGTTTGTCTCTATTTGTTGAGCCGTATCCAACATATTTGACTTAAAAAAAAATTACAAATACTATCAGAGAAACCTAGTGCCTCAAATTTTAAGTGCAGCTTTCACGTTTATGACGTCATCACTGACGAAGCAGGCAAATTTCTTCTTAGTTGGTTATATCGTTATATCTATACAGATAGAATGGTTCACGAAATCTAATTCAGTAGGATAGTATTTTCACAATTCTTAGAGCCAAATATACAAGAGATTGCTCAATAAGGCTCAATCAAACATAGGCAGACTATATATTTTTGTAATTGGGTGAAAATTGGGCTCTTCAAGAATATAGAATCAAATAAAAAGTGGGGTGTCAAATTATAACCATACACCCTGTACATTCTAATAACAGCTGTATACTTTTTTTCCTAAAAAAGCGCTTTTTTAAAACATAAAATTATTTGAAAATCAAATTTTTGAAAACTGCTTTGAAAACGCGGGCAAGGACTATGACGTCAGAGTCCCTAAAATAAATAAAAATGCGAATATGTCGAATTTCTCATCAGTACATTATTGCGTCCTACATCGCAACCTATTTGCGCCCGTTTACTACGCTATAAAAAAAATAAAGGATAGGACAGGTATATTCGGTGAACTCTAAACCAAGTATGTACAATGAACACAAATCTTTCTTAAAATCTGTTTCTCTAGAAGTCATTAGCAATAAAGATTACGATCTTCAAAGTATCTAGGTATATTTTTATAAAACTTCCATATTCCACAAATTATATGAATATGATTATTGATAATCAGTGCTTGCAATTTGTTGATTCAGGTAACTATCAAAAAAGCTGTGGGAATACGAAACTCGATCACAAAAGAATCGAATAATCGAGTCCTATAATTTTGTGAGTGACACTTTGATCGATTTACAAATTTCCATCGAGTAATCGATTTTCGTGCTCCCTGGCTTTCCATCAAGTATCAGATCATCTAATGAGATAGTAATTAATTTTTTTTTTATTGATTTATTTATTATATGTATATATATACAACTATAATTCTAAAATATATTTATTTTGTTAGGTACTTATTTTTGGTTTTATTTACAATTTAAATATATGTACATATGTAAGACAAAAACTTGAGTATGCAAGTGCCATTTATGGAATCTTAGAATATATTTTTTAGAATGTACCTAATGTTAAGCTTAGAAGGAGACATGGAACATTTAATGTTTTCAATGTATCTCACTTAAGTTCATCTTCGAATAAATGTTTGAAAGCCGCTAATATTTGTCGTCAAAAAACACAAATTTTGATATATTCTGTGGAAAAATATTCAATAATTCTTAAAGTTGTTTTAAAATAATTTTGTTATGTTTGTTCCAATTTCTATTTTAGTTTTTTTTTTTGAACGGTCCTGCTGATTTCGTTTTTTCTGCTTTTTTCTTGCTTTAGGGATTATATTTTTGTCTAGATTTCTTTTTGCTAGTCATAAGTTGTACCATGTTCAGTTTCATATGCAGTATAAATTATTATTATTCTTATTATTAAACTAGTGTAAAACCTTAATATATGTATGTATAAATAAAAAATAAACCAACAAAAATATAACTACAATAATAGAAAAAAATATAAAATATCAAGAATATTATATATGTATATAAATTATATGTCTTATAAAATCCATAGAATATACAGGGTTGATATTTTTCAAAACATTTCATAATACATAAATTATGTTCAGAATTTGTCGAAAAATTTGAAAATGAAATAAAAAATTGGTGTTGTCATTTAAAAAAAGAAAGTTATGTATGTAGCTCTCATAACTTGTTTTTGGGTCACCCTTTATATATGATATTATCATCTAAAAAACGGCCAATAAAATCAAAAATCGACGTGTCCGAGGTTTTTTGAAAAATATCAACCCATTATGTAAACAAAATATGTATTATTGATAAAATAAAAAATTAATTGTCTAAATTAAACAGTATTACGTGTGAATGAATGGCTTCTCCATCGCCACCGCAAGTACCTGTACTATCGCAACCGCAAACAATTCTATTACCGCTGATATCCATGCAATTGAATGGGGTTTGCGTTGGATACCCAAAACTTGTTACTTTTAATTTATCGTTCACATGTTGTTCCGGTAATAGCCAGGGATTATTAGTATTATCTCCCACCATAAATTGGGTTTTGGTTTTTGGTGACCAATGCAAAATTTTACCATCTTGAGAGCAACTGAATAGATGATCAGCACGCTCTTGATCAAAATGTATTGCCGATATTGCTCCTTTATGGGCGCTGAGGATATTGACAGGGTGCTTATTTTGTCTTAAATCCCAGCTGGTCATTATTCCCCATTCATCTCCTAGAAATAAAAATAATCGGCACATAAAATATTCAAACTATTATATTTTACTCTATACCTGCAACCATAATATATCTCTGAGTCGGGTGGCAGGTCAAGTGAGTTATCTGACTCACTACTGCCGCTCTACGATTCATAAAAATACTTATAGGCTGATTAGTATCGGATCTTTGGTCCCAGGACTTCATCACACCTAACTGATTGCTAGTCAATATTTGATCACGAGTTACATATGTCACACACTTGATGGCACAAGTGTCAGCATTATCTGAAACAATATAATTAACATAAACATCCAAGATGTCTCCCATTACGTGAGTATTTATTTATTCAAAGGTGAGAAAAAGAAGAAAAAATCTTTTTTTTGACAAGAATTTTATTATAGTTTTCCGGTTTTGAGATATTATCTGATTATGATTCCTTTAGAACCAAATTTTCTACTAGCAAATATTCATCAAGCAAACATCATACAACAGCTTGTAAAAAGTGGGGTTGTTTTTCCGAGACACATCAACTGGAATTATAATATTATGTTATGGTAAGATTTGTTTCGTTTTGGGAGAACAGCATGACAACACCACTTTTAGAGATATCTTCTATGATTTAAAAAACTCTTTGCTTGACAACTAGTATAGAATTTGATTCTGATAAAAGTAGAATACTCAAAGTTCCCTAAACCATATTGGAATTATTGTGAGAGGATGAAAATATAATTAACATTATGAAAGAACAGTTGACCAGTTGACTGTCCTTTATGAGTCGCATAGTAATACTAATGTTTTTTCTACACATCCATGAGACATACAGGATTCAATTGCATACATTACTTAGTTGTTGAACGAGCTTTTGCCAGAATTATTCATTTTCCATGACAACTTGTTGGACTTGGTAAACAATAAATTATAATGTACGATGATATGACCAATAACCAGTATTACGTCAGAGGATGATAATTATTGCTCAACTCCAATTTGCAAATATAGTTAATATTACCTATGGTCCTAACCACGGCTGTTGATTCTGCTGTTAAAATATTGATACGACCATCCTCTCCCACAGTAGCCACATCAAAATTATTAGCAGCTACAGCTGTAAAAGGACTGGGATCGTGAACAGCTAAAGCTGTACAAGGACTGGGATTGCCGTTCTTAAAATAGTGAATATGTTTCCATGTAACGTAGTCTTGAATAAGGGGGCCCGCTATTCCGGATCCTGAGAATCCCATTATGTGGGCCGATCCTGATGAAGAACTACTCGCGAATAATTCAGTGTTTAAAAACTGCAAGAAAAATTTGATGTGTCTGTAATGGTACTTCAAGTAGGTATGCAAACTATGTTTATACCTTAATTTCTGTAACAGCTCCACAGTAAGGATACTCCCTTATTTTAAATAATTTGGGAGCATCCTTTACGAGCTGCCACAACACTATCTTGTTATTCCCGGTAAGGATATGCTGTGGCTCTTCATTTATTTCAGGTTTCCATCTGATTTTGTTGATTTTTTCGGTTTTGTAAGCGTTTCCATCCATGGTTTTTTTCTTGAACGGAAAATTTTATTTAGGTAAATTTCTTTGTATCGTGGTTTGTTTAATTACTTACTATTCACTATTGCGGGTGACTCACTACTGCACAAAAAAGAAAATTTTCAACAAGAAATATAGATTTAAAAAAAAAGGGGGAGGTACTTACTTAACTTAAGTAACTGCCCTTCACTTCTACTTCGAATCCAAACTAGTTTTTGTTATCAGAATGTAATCCGTCAACAACAGCAAAGACGCCCAGGGACCAAGTTCCACAGACAGTACACCGCTTGAACTTACTCAAATTATTATTTTTGGCAAGTGCTGATTTTGGTCATTGGCCAACAGTGTAAAGGCTGGTACCGCAAGGACGAAAATGGCAAATGAGATAGATAGGTATCTAAGGTTTGTTCGTTTTGCAGTAGCTCCGGACTCCAACTAAATGCAAAATATTTCAAGGTTGTGACGGCACCAGTTGAAGAAGATAATCTAATAATTATAACTGAATAGAACAGCAAAAGAATCTGACACAAATGATTAACAGAATTTTTTTGTGTTTTCAGGGTTGCGTTCGAGAACCTGGTTGTTGGTGTGAAAATTATTCCAAGGAGTGGGGGTCCGACACACTTCGGTGTAGGTGTAGGTATTCGAACGGTGACCGAGTGGTTTACTCACCAACTTGTCTAAAATTAGCCAATTGCCTTCTGGATCTTGTTCGTTTTCCACCATAATCTGTCGACCTTTTACTAAAGAAATTTGTTCTTCCATATTGGCGATATTAATATTTATATAAGCAAATCACAGTAATCAAATCACACAATTGATATAATAATGACCTAATAATAAATAAAATGTAATGTCATATATCAGCTTAAATTTCATTCTAGTCAAGACTAGAGTACGTGTCCAGGGCGCGCACCAGTACGTGACAACCACCTTTCCGAATGTCAAAAACCGTGTCATTTTTATCGACACACTAGGTTCTCGGTTCTCGAACGCAACCTCCAGGGCTGCCAGGATACGACGTATGTCAAATTTGTTCATTTTAAATGTCAAATCAATATTAGGTCTCTCGGAACACATTTTACTGTTCCGGGCGCTCGTTTAAATGAGCACACTCATCAACTTTATTATTTGTAATTATGCTCGTACTTCATTATGCAATAAACTATTCTATAATATTGAACAAAAAATGTAAAACGAACAAATTAGTGAAAATTATGGATAAATTAGTGCTGCTGGAGCTAATTTCCTGTCGTCTAGGTACAGTGACTCAATAAACCACAGTGGCGATTCAAACCCAGACTATCTATTCAAGATGGCGTGGCGGTCAGGTGTAAGGAATGTCTAATTGCAGAAAATGGAGCTGAAGCTCCTGACAGTTTTGACAGATAGTTGCAATGTTGCCAGATATTGTTAATTCTTTCCTCGGCGGAATTTTCAAATATTAGAAAGTTCTCGTGCCTCAGTCGCGACGCTAATGCGGTACCGCTAACAATACGGTATTTTAAATGGTAGGTATTTTATAGTTCTTGGAAACGGAGAAGAATCCTCTAATCCCTTATTCTGTTTATATTTTGACAGCTGAATTGAGTGATCTTACCCAACTATTTTTTTGCTTGTTTGTCAACTTTTATTTATCCTGAAGATTCCTGAGTTTCGTTAATTTTCCCTTGGTGTTTTTATGGAGGAATTATTAGCAGTTGCTGTTCTTGCAGACGTGAATGGAGCGTAAAGTAGTTGATATAGCATAGCGTTACGGTAAGGCATCCGCTAAGTCCCGCTTGGTAGCGGGCTCCGCTAACGCTAATAACGTAATGTCATACTTGTCAAATAACGTAGCGGTATTTGAAGTTTGGACAACACGAGAACTCTCTTATTTAAGTATACAAATACGGGATGTGGTCGAATGGTTTTGAAAAAATAACTAGTTGACATTTGCTTACATTTTGACCTACAGTTTTTACAGCAATGAGCAAATGAAGGCCTACAAAAGCTCAGATTCTTATAAGTATTTTGAGTATAGCGTTATTTCAGATGCAGGGACAGTGGTACTGAATAATTTTCACATTTTAATAGGAAAAGTCTTAGAGTATGGAAAAGTTTGAAACGGTAGGCACTGAAAAAAACCTGACATCATCCTTTGTTGAAACCGAATCCACACTCAACTAAAAGACACCTTTGTGGCATTTTTAGTTGGAAAAAAACACTTATGAAGTCAATGAAATTTGAAAATAAACACAGTTCAGTCACAAAACAACCACACAATGCACTTTAAAAAGCTTTAAATTCTGTACTCTCATATGCGGGATAGTAAACTTCCGCCTACGACGCCATTTTGGAATAGTTTTGACAGGTCGTAGGAAAGCCTAATTGTCGTCCTATTTCTGATTGGTTCTTCAAAATCTTACAAATTTAAATTGAAAATGAGCAATAATATGACGGCGGGGGCGTGGCTTACTTCTAAATTCCTATTCAAAATTAGCGCAAGAATATGTCATCATTGTCTGTAAAGGTTTATCAAGTCACTGTAGTCTAGGACGTTGACGCTGCAATCTAGCGAGAAGAGAACGCAAAGGTAATTATAAGGACATAATACCGCGATTGGCACTTTTGCCTCTAACGGGAAAAAAACGAACAAATTATCCCATACATAAAAATCATACTACAACTGGCATCCCGCTGTTCTTCTGATGCTTGTCAACTTTTGATTGAGAACTTGCAATGGTACGTTCATCTGAATAAACATCGCTTTGGTGAACTGCCTAACAACAGAGATGCCTTATCCAGCCGACGGCAAGAACTGCCTGAAAGGGTGATTCGGATCAAGAACCGAGTCCCAAACAGCTTGACAGTGATCAATTAGAAGAGAGTGACATTGTGACAGTGATATTTCAACATTAAAAGAGCCGGTGATATATTAACAGAATTCGGTTAGCGAAGAAAGAAAAACCAAGAAGATTGGTACAATAGGTACGACTTCTGATCCAGAAGGTAGAAATTATCCTCCAAACAGCCGCTCTACAGATTCCAATGAAGAGGTATACTACAACTGCTACAAGGCGCAAGAAAGGCAGCATGGCACTCATGGCACTCATGACATTCAACAACAAGTGCTACGACCATCCACAAAGGTGCGGAAAAGGCAATTGGCAGCACGACACTTATGGCAGTCAACAGGTAGCCATTTTTCTAGTATCCGTGATATCAGTCCAAGGAAAGAAGAGCTACGCAGACACGAGAGCAGATCTGGGAAGTCAGAAAGGTCGAGCGGTTCAAGGCGCTGCAATCAGGTCTCAGTCCACTTAGGCAAAGAGATATTAAGCAGATGAATGGATGGATTATGGATGTGAGTGGAGGTATAGACGTAGAAGAGAAGGTGTTGCATCTTGACAGAGTCAGATCGAGACGATCTGATTTGAGAGAGAGGCAGTGTTACTAAAATGCATTAAAAATTCGGTCAGGTTCTAGGAATTTAGTTGTTTACGTTTAGCGCGACTTTGCGAGGAATTATTTTGTATGCAAGTAGGGCGCCGGAGTTTTTTAGCTAAAAAGCCCACGATTAGGTTTTTCTAGTAATAGTACAAGTCAGTTGTAACAAGAGTTGTAGCCAGTTCAAATACGAGATTTGCTGTGTTTTTTTTTTGGATAGTTGATTTTTATGAAGTCAATTTATTCAATGACCAACCACACTTATCCAGAAGTTTTCTTGCAGACTTTGATAGTAAAAATGCGTAGAAAAGTTACATGAAATTTTGGATTCTCACAGATTTCACATATTCGTTGGCGGGAAAAATGAGATATAGAATCATACGTGAACAACAGCTAATGCATTCATTCTTTGGAGTTCCTTTACCTAAAACAATTAGGATATCCACCGTTGGTTACATGAAGCTGATGTCTAGGGTATAATACATACATATCTACTAGTTACCGATATTGAAGTGTGGACAGAATTTATTAGACTGAAAATTGACTGGTATAGTACGGATTATTAGAATTTCAGAGAATCATACATCAAAGCTCATCTCTGCAAGACTGGGATGTGGTATTTTCTAAATTATGTAATTTGGATGTCCTAGAAATCCGAGATCCCCAGGAGAGCAAGGACATGAACGATAGAGGAGTTTGTCACATAATATTTTCTAAGAACTTTCCATTTATATTTTTACTTGGCTAAAAAAAGGTCTTACAAAAGATATTGAAAAATGCCTCGTTGTTATCATCATAGGTATTTGAAATAGCGATGTTTGAAGTGAGGATGGATATTGGAGCTAACCCTTCTTCGAAATGCGCTAAATGAAAAAAAAAACTGCATTACGGTAAGTACCAGTTTTTCCGATGATGGATAAGTCTGGAGTTACCGGCGTTCTGCTGCTCAACAACCAGGATTTTTCTAAATAAAATATGAAACCGGCACGCATTACGAGGTTGGAGTTGGAGTTATTGAAAATAAGTTTTTATTTTTTAATTAGTTCTAGGGCAGGTCAGTGAAGAAATAATTTGTTGATATTTTGATTGGCGCATTGAGAATACTGCAGGTAAAAATAGCGAAGCAGCAGTTTGATAGATTTCCGCTATTTCGATTTTGGTGAAAAAACTTCTACTCCCTCACTTGAAAAAATATAACTTGGGAAGAGATTTTATCCGCAAAATACGCACAGGGTGCTTAAAGTAATCTCAATTTTGGAAAAATAGAATAGTTTGAAGGAGCCAAATCTTTATATTTTCAATGTCTTTCTAAAAAAACAACTTCACCCCGTATAGACAATTACCCGGTATATCAAAGGATTTCAAGCGCCAGCAAGCCTTTTCCAGTTTTTTCATATGCATTTTTGCAATTTCAATAATTATGTAAACCTTCTACTAATGAATATTCAACTCCCTTATAAAATCCTATAAAAGTCCCCTCAACTTTGCGCCAAGCCTCGTTCCCGAAACGCAACAGCTACGTTTTCCTGAAAACACGTTCCAAATAGTCGAGGAAATTCCCAATCCTGAATCAATATGACTTCGCGGCAGGCTTTCCACCATTGTTATGCTTATCGTCCCCTTGGCGCAGGCGCCTCAGCAAAAAGGACAACAGAAACAGGAATTTCGGGACTGCTGCCGGGATCCTGTGCACCACGCGTTCGCAGTTTGTAGACAAACCTAATGGATATTTATTGTTGTGGCTGGGAAAATCGGGAATTATTGGCGATTTATTAGTTTTTTTTTTTTTTTCTGGTGATTAGGAATGATGAGCTATTGAGTGATTGTACGAAAGACTTTAACGAGATAGGTAAGTTGTCTTGTATCTATTGGATATTTATTCCGCAATTAACAAAGAATTAATTACCCCAAACATGTTAATAAATTATATATGTTTTATTGAAATAAATAGAATATAAGTGATCAAATCAGAACTGAAAAGTAAACTATGATTTTAATATTGGCGCTTCAATATTTAGGAAGAAATTTTTAAGGTTGTGTCACTTGTATTCAACTGTTTCCCAGGTTTCATTGCTGCTTGGGGCAAATCCAAATATTAATTCAACATTTTCACTTATTGATAAAATATTTTGAGATATAATAGACAATAAATTTATACCGGCGAAGCGGTAAAGCTTATATAAATTATTCATAACTTTTTCTCACTTTCATGCTATTGCTCACAATTCATTGAATAGCGACCGTCAACTTTTTGTTATCGAGTTGAAAATCCCTCCGGACTAATTTTTTATTTGTCCAGCTTATTGTTTTCTATTTTAATTTTTTTCAATGGTTCTGTTCCTGACTATAATAGTTCTTTAAAATATAATTCCTGCTTTTTTCACTTTTTAGAACAATAGTAGTTATTTACATATCACTGGATTAACTTCTTCCTCACTGATTTGTTTTATGGAGAAGTGTAAACTGACCTATTTAAATCACTGGAGTAACTGAATTTTTGTATTCCATCATTTAATTGCAGCTTAATGAATTATTGTCTTGGTAAATGTTAATCTATGTGATAAATTACTATAACATAATGCAACAATTCCGGCTGCAATATATTATCTCTCTGAGAATGAAGGAGCTTCGAATATATTATTGCCTTACATGTTCAACAATTTCCAATGTGCCTGGAATTCTTCTTTCGATACTTCAAATACAAAATAATATTTATTTTTAATTCGCTCGTACGCATCGTTAACGTTTTAATTAAATCACAATAGGCTCATTTCCATCAGGTCATATAGGAACTCAAAAACGTCAATATGTAACTTGGCAAACTTCCAAAGGAATCAAAGCATAACGTTTTTGTCAGCATAAAAACGGGAGTTTGCATGTGAATGTTTAATTAAAACTTTATCTTCCTGCATCAGACAAGGGAGGTAGCCGAAGTGTGTGGATTTTGCTTTGCATAGATTTACTTATACTGCATTTTACTTTCTCAAGTAGATTTTTAGAATATAAAGGGTAAGTGAGAAATTCGCTTTATGAGTTAGCGTTAAATAAAGAACCGTTCTGCAGTTCTGATTTATAAATGAATAAAAAAATTATGCTAGGGAAAGAAAAATCATCACTACTTTCTATAGTTTCTGTGTTTCTCTTGTTTTGAAATACCACTGTTATAATACCAAAAATATGTACCTATCCAATTTTATATTCGATCATGACATTTTATGCAAGACTAGAAGTCAGTTTTGGTGGACCCAATCATCTATTAGCTATTTGTAGTCTTATACTGAACCTCTGGTTGAATAGCTATCTTTGTTTGGAAATTCATCTAACGAATGTGACTATCATAACTCAATCTAGATCGTGAAGTTGACGATCTTTGATCGTCTTGAACATGACGAATCATCAGGAGTTATTCTTGAAGAAGTCAATAATTCTCAATTGAGAACATAAATAGGTAAAGGGTCTATCCCCATATATTGACCCTCCCTACAGGCGTTATGTGAAGAGATATCAAAAAATTTTAAATACAAAAGTTCTGGGGTTTTACCTGAAATTTTTGGAACAAATGTCAATTTTTTTTTTGTTTTTTTAGAAATTTTAAATTTTGTCAGTTTTTGTTATGGAATACCCTATATATGACGTAATAGTTGAAAAGAGTCCATTTTTCTGATTTCAAATATATATAATATATGGTTTAACTGCTTTTAATTGAGCCATTTGGGAAATATCGGGCTCTAAACTTCAAGAAAATAATACATTGAAACACATCAGCTCTGTTCCAACCGACATGAGAACTGTTCTAGAACGGTAATTTCCAGTCGATCAGTTCATTTGTCAATTAGGAAAAACGTTGAATTTATTGAAAAATAGGTGGGCAACTGGAAATTACCGTTCTGGAACGGTTCTCATACATTTGTTCCATCCCGACGTGAGAACCGTTCTAGAAAGGTAATTTCCAGTTGCCCACCTATTTTTCAATCAGTTGAACGTTTATCCTAATTGACAAATGAATTGATCGACTGGAAATTACCGTTCTAGAACGGTTCTCATGTCGACTGGAACAGACCTCATGTCGGTTGGAACAGACCTCATGTCGGTTGGAACAGACCTCATGTCGGTTGGAACAGAGTTGACGTGTTTCAATGTATTATTTTCTGAAGTTTAGACCCCGATATTTCTAAAACCGCTCAATTAAAAGTAGTTAAACCATCGGATTCAAAAATTTCAGGTAAAACCCCAAAACTTTTGTATCTACAATATCTCTTCACATAACCCCTGTAGTGGGGGGGGGGGGGCAATATATGGGTACCCTGTACCTATTAATAACTAAAAACGATCCTCTAATATTATTGCTAATATCCTAAAGTGGCATTTGGAATTATCTTTTTATACATATGACTAGTGGATGCCGCAAGACGAGGCGAGACAAGAATATGTTTTTTCCCGTCTTGTCTCGAAGGTTCGAGATAAAATGAGTCTCTCGTCTCGATAAGAGACCCTCGATACGAGCTCTTCTCTCGTCTCGCCGAGACGAAACGAGACAGAGACGAGACTCTCTCGTCTCGGCGGCATCACTAGATATGACATACTAACCGTGAATCAGAATTTTTAGAAAAAATCATTCACTACTCTTATCAAAGCCACTTCTCCTTTCCTTTCGAGAGACTAACTATGGATTGTGGCATTAACAACTGCATAACTCAATAAGACCTCTATGACACTAGTTTATATTTCTGAGACTGGATGTCCAGACATTCGAAATCCTGGAAAAACATGCTCCATCTTGCGGAACTGTGGACATTGCTATAGAGGACAGGCAAATTAGTTTTAAACTTGAAATATTTTTCATTATAGTTAAGGACCTTGTGAGAAGTGGAGAATTATAGACTGTAGAGGGTATCAACACACCTTCCAACAATAATATTGACATTATAATATTTCTCTCTTTTATAAGTATAAGGAACAAGTCCGGAAAGTTTTTTTTTTTTTGGTCCGGATTTCCAATACGGTCTTAGAGCTGGCGAAAGTTTTCGAGATTTCTATCCTTTTTCTATGTTTCCTAATACTAACTGTTGTTAGTCAATGCAACAACTACCTATATATAACCCTTAATAGAGGTAGAAACCGATAGGTACCTTTGGAATGATGGGAACAAAAAAAATAGGTATGGTGAAATCTTTGAAAAAGATACCGCGTTTCGATAAACAAGTGTATAGATAAAACCAACTAAAAAGAAGCCACCGCGTGATCTTTTATCTCACTTTAAATGAGAGGGCCCTAGAGAAAAGGAAATTTGCCTTCTTCGCCAGTGATGACGTCAGGGGTTCGTCTCAGTTGGCTTTAACTACAAGACAGTCCCCCCTCCTATATCACTGAGCCATGCCATGCCATTATGCAACCCAATTTTCTTAGATCGGCGATTGAACCAATCGTTTTTAATAATATCTTCAGCTTCCAGCTCTAATGGCTTATTCTGTTACCTTTTCAGACTGATAGAGCGATGGTTCGGAGTAAATTTCTTATTATTCTTTGCCTCTGCATGTTTCCCGCTCTGTGGCAAGTAGTCCTATAGAGATTGCGATGTTGGTTGGGACCATCAATGCTCTTCTCCGCATTTCCTCGATCTTTGATGATCTTATTGGAAATTGAGTCTTGGTTAGATCCTTGACTTTCGGATCTATTGATTACTTACTGATTGATGTGGTTTGCTTTTTGTGCAGATCGTTCGACTCATGATGTAGGTAGTCCTCATCCGGATATTCATCGAGACGACATTCTCTCCCGTATGTGTCTGCGAAGGCTTCAATCTTTTTTTCCTCTATGGAAAGTAGTCCAATAGAAATTACGACGTTAGTTGAGGCCATCAGCGCTTTTTTCAACATTTCCTCGATCTTTCATTGTCATGAGAAAATCCTTGTAAAAGAAACAACATCCGTTCTCTTAGAAAATGACATCATACCTCCTACACAGTATGGCTTAATGCCAAAAAGATCTACTTCAACAAATCTTGTCAGCTGCCTGAACGACTGGTCTACAAACCTAGACGAAGGCAAGCGAATCGACGTTATATACCTCGACTCAGAAAGCCTTCGATACGGTACCACACGAGAGACTCTGCTACAAACTGAGCCATTATGGAATAAGAGGCAAGTACCTACAATGGAGCAGCTGCTTTCTTAAGCAAAGAACTTTCTATGTTCGAGCAAATGGAACCAGCTCTGATTGGTACCCAGTCGTCCGCGGAGTACCACAAGGACCTGTACTTACTTCTCTTTTTTTACAGTGTACATCTCTGATCTGTCAAAAACTATTCAAACCAAAGTAAAATCCTTTGCAGATGACAAAAAACTATATGGAAATCCTTTAACACAACTGCAGCAACTAAAGGAAGACATGAGCACTGTAGAAAAATGGACAACCACATGGCAGCTAAAACTAAATGAAAAAAAGAGTACAGCCTTACACATAGGACGAAATAACCCTTGATTCAACTACTAAATAAATAGCGTCGAACTCAGAAAAGTCTCAGAACAGAAAGACCTAGGAGTCTATGTCACCGATGATCTGAAATGGGAAACCCATATATCCCACACAGTAAAGAAGGCCAATCAACTAATATACAGGCCCCGCAACATAAGGTGGCGAGAGCTGGCGCAGGTAGGCGTAGCGGTGGGTCCCTTTTCTTGACCCAGGCAAAGCTAAAATACAAACCTTTTCCATTATCAGGGGCGTCGCTAATTGGTATGATGATATTGACATTACAAATAAATTATCATATTGCACCTACACGCCACTGTTCCCTATTCGTTTACCGAGGGTAGGGTTTACAGTTCAGTTTACGCTCCTACCATTTCCGTATTTTGTCTACTGCGCAAATTGCTTTTTCGCCACCTTATTTTGCGGGACCTGTACCTTATGAGACAAGCTTTTGAAAATCAAACTGTAAAAATGATAAAAAAACTGTACACCACCTACATTAGACCAAAACTAGAATATGGCCACACAGTTTGGTCTCCTTACTACATCAAAGACATAGATCTCTTAGAAAGTGTGCAGAGAAAAATAACCAAAATTCCAATTGAACTTAGAAATCTGCCATACGGAATAAGACTACAAAAATTCCAGTTGACAACACTCAGAGAAAGAAGAGAAGGAGGAGACCTAATTGAAACACATAAGATCCTAAATGGCTACTACTCTACAGACCTAAAACTGGAAGATATGTTCCAAATGAATCCAAACTTAAACCTCAGAGGACACCACCAAAAACTGAAAAAAGAGAGAACTGTTCTTCTTTGGAAGGAAAAACTTTTCAACCAATCGCGTAGTCTATAAATGGAATTCCTTAAGCCCAGAAACGATAAGTGCACCAAACAAAAACATTTTCAAAAATAGACTAGATCCAAATCTTTGTACCATAAACAACACATTAGTGCATTATTTCTAAAGAAGTACCAAAAGCAAAAAACTGAAAGTGAAAAATCAAAAGCGATGGACTCATCGTTTTTAGGCTGCTTTTCATTGCCAAGAACATAATAATAATAATAATAATAATAATAATAATAATAATAATAATAATAATAATAATAATAATAATAATAATAATAATAATAATAATAATAATAATAATAATAATAATAATAATAATAATAATAATAATAATAATAATAATAATAATAATAATAATAATAATAATAATAATAATAATAATAATAATAATAATAATAATAATAATAATAATAATAATAATAATAATTCACCATCAACCATCATGAACACCTGGAGAACTAACATATATTTAACAACAGGAACGGAACAACTAAAAACAGACAACATTAATATAAAAAAGGGAATCTTCCAAGGAGACTCTCTGAGTGCACTTTTGTTCTGTCTGTGCCTCAATCCACTCTCCAACACACTGAATAACACAAAATGCGGCTTCCAGATTAAACACCAAAGCAGAGTAAAACACAGAATCAACCATCTGCTTTATATGGACGACATCAAAATATATGCACCAACATAGACACAAATGAAGGGATTACTGAGAATAACGGAGAAAGTTACAACAGACATCGGAATGGAATTCGGAATCAGCAAATGCAAAACATTACATATAGAAAGGGGTAAATGGAAGGACGAAGTCGACACAGAAACACTAAACAATGAAAAGCTTGATAACATGCAAATTGATGAAACATATAAATATCTGGGATATCAACAGAACACAAGAATAGATCACACGACCATAAAAAAACAACTAACTAAGGAGTTCAAGAATCGTTTAACTCTAATATTAAATAAAAAATTAAACTCAAGGAATCTGTTCAAAGCTATCAACACGTTCGCCATCCCGCTACTTACATATTCCTTCGGAATAATTAAATGGACAAAAACAGACCTGGAAAACATAAACATCCTCATACGATCTGAGCTGACGAGGAATAGGAAACTACACCCAAACTCATGTAAAGAGAGAATCACAATAAGCAGGAAAGAAGGCGGGAGAGGGCTAGTAGACATTCACGTACTCCATGCAAAGCAGATACAAACCCTCAGAGAATATTTCCACAGCAAGCAAACTTCATTACACTCAGCAGTCATGCAAGCAGATAAAGAATATACACCACTTAACCTCTCTCAGTCTGAAACACAATCACAACAAATACAAACACAACAACAAAGAATGGAGGAATGGTCACAAAAGAAGCTATACGGAAAACACTTGTACATCATGAACAACGAACAGATTCAAAAACAAGAATCATATAGATGGCTACAGAAAGGACAATTCTACCCAGAAACAGAAGGCTTTATACTCGCCATACAGGATCAGGTGATAGCGACCAGGAGCTACCAGAAGTATATACTGAAAAATACAGAGATAAGCGATTTATGCAGAAAATGCCACCAACACCAGGAAACTATTGATCATGTAGTAGGAGGATGTAAAATACTGGCAGGCACGCCATACACAGATAGACACAACATTGCAGCCAAAGTAATACACCAAGCATTGGCCCATAAATATGGCCTAATCACCACAGAAACACCATATTACCACTACACGCCAGACAGTATACTTGAAAACAAGAGTTTCAAACTCTACTACGACATAGATATACGCACGGACAAAACTGTACAGCATAACAGACCAGATCTCACTCTGATAGATAAGGGGAATCAAAACACATATCTAATAGACATAGCAATACCTACAGATAAGAACATCAGCAAAAAGTACGGAGAAAAAATTGAAAAATATACGCCCTTGGCAATGGAAGTTGAAAGAATTTGGAAACAGAAAAAAGTCCACATAATACCATTTATAATGTCCGCAACAGGCATAACACATAAAGCATTCACTCAACATCTAAAACATCTGCAGCTAGATACAGTCATACATGAGTACATACAGAAAGCCATAATATTAAAAACATGCAATATAGCCCGAACTTTCTTCAAGTAGGTAGTAATTTCACTAGATAGACTTGGTACCCACCCGTCTGCCTAGGGAGAAACCGGTTGAATCCGAGAGAACATTTGAATAATGGTAATAATAATAATAATAATAATAATAATAATAATAATAATAATAATAATAATAATAATAATAAAAATTAAGTCTGGGCAGTGGCGGCGATAAGCGATGCTTAGGGGCCCGGGCACGTATTTTTATTTAAATAAAAATGCTTTAAAATAAAATTGAGTGATATAATAACCGATATCGATCGATATACTTTCGTTCCAGTTGCCACCGCTAAAAAGTCATTTGGTTAATTAAAAATATTGACAAATTACTTGAGAAATTCCATAAGTCAGCTGATTGCTGAACCGCATGATCTTTCCATTTTATCTATCAGACATAGCACAGCATCCATTGTGGATATTTGGTATTTAGTTGCTCCAGAAAAATTATCCATTGGATAAAGGAGCCACAGATAATCAAAATTTGAACTATTACCGGCTCTTGATTCTCTGGAAAACTTTCCTAGAGCCAATGAAGAGCCCGTAAAAGTCAAAATTTGAACTTTTATCAAATCTGGATTCGCTAGAGAATTTTTCTGAGGGCATTCAAAGCTCAAGAGCCGTGTTGTTTGCCTATTTGCTTAGGGGCCTAGTTCATCTAAGCGCCATCACTGGGTTTGTGCCAGTTCCTTCACTTTCGGATCTATTAATTATCTTTCGAATCTTCTGCTGATTGATGTAATTTGCTATTTGTGCAGATCGCTCGACTCATGATGTAGTCCTCATACGGATATTCATCGAGACGACATTCTCTCTCGTATGTGTCTGCGAAGGCTTCAATCTTTTTCTCCTCTGTGGAACGTAGTCCGATAGAGATTGTTTGAGGCCATCATTGCTCTTCTCTGCATTTCCTCGCTCTTTGATCATCTTATTGGACAGTAAGTTTGGTCCTTGACTTTCGGATCTATTAATTATCTTTTGAACCTTCTGCTGATTGATGTGATTTGCTATTTGTGCAGATCGTTTGACTCATGATGTAGTCCTCATCCGGATATTTATCGAGACCGCACATTCTCTCTCGTATGTGTCTGCGAAGGCTTCAGTCACATTTTTTTCCACATAAGCATTATCATCGTTTATTTTTTCTGTCCACCACGGAGGACTTTTGCTGTGAGACATAAGAGTAGTAAATGCAAATAACAGGCACTCAGCTCTTTATTACTGTGGGGCTAGAGGGTATATTTTATCGATCCATCCGATTTATCTCGCTTTTTGAAGGGTTACACACCCCTATACCTATATGTAAAATAGTGATTTTTAACTAAGCAAGACGATGACGACAAATTTGTATTGGTTTTTAGTTGAAAAAAAAAAGAAAATTGACGGTTTTAATTGGTGAAAATCATATATTTTTTTTGATACCTCTTTGATTGCTTCTTCTATCAATTTTTTTCATAAATAATGTGTATTCCTAATACATACTGATTAACTAGTCAGTTTCTTCTGACTCTTGCTACTTATAGTTAAAATGTTTCAAATAGTTTTCTTGTGAACTCGGACAATATGACATTAATTACATGGTATGGACGAATGCATAATGTCTAACGTTTATTTTATTATTAAAATTGAAACTTTTCGGCATAGCCATTAGCAATCCTTACTTAAGCGGCCTCAAACCCACCGGAAACTGAAATTCAAGTATTTAGAATAGTTGTACAGCATTTATTAATGATTTATTGCTCTTTTCAGCTGAAAATGTGGAGCGCCGTGGCGCCGGACGAAGCTCGAAGCGCGGCGCCGTCGGCCAGATCAAAACACAGTGCAACCGTTTTGGGCGAACATGTTTATGTATTGGGAGGACGCAATGGAAATTTACCCTTGAAGGATTTTTGGAAATACAATTTGGGTAATGATTTTATTTTAAACACGAAACGTTTTTTTGCATTGAATCTAACTCATCAACCATGAGACAAAAAAAAAAAAAAATGGGAGGGAGTGCAACTCAACAAAAGCAAGTTAATTTTAGTCAACACGCATCAGAAACCCCTTTCAAAAACGCAGACGCATTTGTGAAATAAATACTGTACATATTCATAAAGGGGACATTTCAAAAAGAACACGGAGACTTTAAAACAAACATTATCACCCCTTCTTTTTCGCTCTTCGCGGTATTTACTTTTTACCCTCGAAAGTTGAGTGCAGAGCAAAAAGACTATCAACATCAAAATAACTTCTAAATTCAAATATGTTTCACACAAAAATGTTGCTGTCGAGGTCCGCTAAAAGTCCAATCGCCCCGTTCAAAAAGCCTCGTTTAACCTCCTTCGCTAGTCTCGACACGTTCCCCAATCTCCCTCGGGATTAATATCATGCATCATTTAAGGCAGGTCCCACATTGTCAACGTCCCTTTGAGCGAGTTTTTGACTCGTAACTGCTGTTTGCTCTTGTCAGACCGCAAAACTTGTTCCAGACGTGAAGTTATGTATTCCTGTCGGCTGCTAGATCAAGCATGAATAATTCAGAATTTCGATTAACGAGTTTTTAATATAAAAGCGCTTACATTTTTTTTACTGACCGATATAAATCACAAAATATTATCAGTCTATTTTCCGTTTATAAATAATCGGTGGAAAGCTTTCTTTGAAATTGGCTCTCGTAACCTCTCTTATTATTGCAAAGTGGCTCGTCGATATAAATCCCCACTCTATCCTGACAGAGGGCCTCTTACGCTTTCCTCGTAACGAGGTGAAGATGGATGCTATTAAACTGATGCCATGTTTCACTTAAGACACTGACACCCCCCTATGTTGAAATTGTTAGAGGCGGAACCAGAATACTACAGGTGCGTTCATTCTTGAAGAGCATGGGCATAATTAATCAATAATGCATTTTTATTGCATACATAGTGAACCTGCGCTAGTTTAAACATACGCCTATCTGAACGGCTCGGTAGTGTGAACATTGAAATATTTACTTTAACCCTATATCCGAGTCGGCGGTCGATAACTTCAACAAAGAAGCGACGTGTTTCTTCTATTTATTGCTTCTTGTATTACCTGACAAGTGCTTGTCAGCTAGAGTGACCAAGCAATGTATTATTCTAGAAAATTAACTTGTTAAGCGTTTAATCAATGTGTGGAAGTCGGGCCAAAATATTCCTATTTAGCCATCGGAAAATCCGTAGATAACAAAGATGAAAAAATATTTTCCTACGACCACATACGAAAATGACAAAATTCGCACTAGCTGGTTCTTTGGAAAGCGCTAAATATCACACGCGTGCTGAAAGTACTTCCAATAAGCCTGCCAAAAGTACTTTCAGCACATGTGTGGAAAATACTGGTGATATTATTTGTGATTGACATAACAATTTACTTTCAATATGTGGTTTGAAAGTACTTTCAGTACGTGTGTTGAAAATGAAAAGAAATAAAATAAGAGAAAATTGGTGTAAATCGGTTTTTGGTCGTAGGAAAAATGGTGTACATCACTTTGTGAGAAAGCGTCTTTCGTACACTCGTGTGATTTTCGCACTCGGCTACCGCCTCGCGCGAAAAAACACTCGTGTGAAATGTGTCACTTTCTACACTCGTAATGTAATATACTATTATCATACTCCTATGTATGAGTTTCTTGAAAATGTCGATGCTGTGGCCAAACAGGCCATCACAGCTGTTTTCCAATCCTATCTTACATCCGCAGCAAATCTCATCATAATACTTACCGTTAGTATCAAAAACTGTGCACGACATGCGGTCGTGTAAATTTGAACTACATCCTTAGGTCTGGATTTTGTATTCCAAAGTGGGTTTTGATAATCAGCTAAAATCGTTTTCGGCTCAGGTATGAAAACTGAAGATCGTGGCCTGAGGTTCTTAGAGTTAACAACCCTCAGTTCTAAGCCCTTCTAGAGTTGTTTGATAGATTTCAACCCCTCTCTGAGCCAGCAGATTACTTTAAGAAGTCAGTCTGTGGGAAGCTGCTGCTGGACCCACCAACTAAAAATTCAAATACATACGAATTGCTTAATCATTTGAGCCTAATGGCAAGGTTTAGGAATGCCGAAATGCATATCTCCTAACTTCTAAGAAGGAAAAATTAATTATAAAATGTGTGTCATATGCTACACAGCTGTGATCAAATCAATGCATTATCTAAATAGGAAGTAAAATATGTATTAGATGTTGTATTCATTTTATTTGTCATATAGATCTACAACGTTAAACATTGATAATGTCATCGTCATAGGCGATCACTCGATACCGAGTATGAATTTTTTCTATTACGCTCCTTTCTTTAAAATACAGAGCTGTGTATCATTCAGTCTATGTTTGTAGTTTAAATGTCAGGTAGATATCCAAGCTATTTGTTGAAAATGTCAGAGATATATTTCAAAAACAATTCATTTATTCAACAAAATATTAAATCACTAAACAGCCTCCACTGAAATCCTACAACTTCCATAAAAGTTAATTTTCCATTTGTTTGAGCTGGTGTTTGAGTTTTCCTTCCTAAAATTAATTGGTTTGACCTAGTAGTTTCCTAGAAATTTTAAAGCTAAATGAATATTAAATTTTTCTGGTAAAATACACCGTTTTAATTAGTTCTCTGAAAAACTGTATACACAGTTGAGGTAAAGTTTGGCTGTTCTCTATGTCAATATGATATCCGCTAGATTTTACCTAATCCAAGACTCTAAATAAATATTAAATCTTCTAAAGTTATATTTATGATGTTTTTTTTTTTTTTTTAATTTAGTTACTGGAAAGTGGTATCACCTAAAACCAACAGGAGACCAATTGCCATGTTTACAAGAACACACGGCCGTAGCCTACAAAGACAATATATTTGTTTTTGGGGGTGAAGTAAGTTTTTCTTCTAGCACAGAAACTCCCCTTTGGGTGTACGATGTCAAAGGAAATAGCTGGAAAAAGGTCAAGACGAAAAAAGGTAAGAAACATTAAAATTGTCATATACATATTAAGTTACGGAAATATTATTTAATATATGAGATATTCTGAAACCAACTGAGTTTTATGTAAGTCCGCTTCAAATTCTCACGGTCCTTATATCCATTATTTATCTTTATGCTATTCTCCATTCGGTTGTCTCGTTCAGAATTCCGGCTTTATGACATAAAAACCGGATTTTCTAGTGGCATATAAGAGCTGCCAGCTTTACTAAGAATTTGCTATACAAAAGACATAGGCGGGAGTAAAAATGAGTGTCTATTATGCACTCTTGGAAAGTAGGTTCCAATGTATGTACTTAACGAAATGAAACGGTAATTTGACGTTTGAAGTTACAGGCCAAGTTTTACCTAACTCGTAATAACCGCATCGCTAAGAGGATCCGCTTGGCTTTTTGAATGAGCGATTTTCAGACTTCCCGAACTCCAATTAAATTTTTTCACCGCAAGCTCAAAAATAAGTTTGGTCGTTGGATAAGATAAGATAAAAGAGCATTGCAAAACACGTAGAAAGAGCTTTTTTGGAATTTTCAAAACACTAAGGGTCGGAAACATAACACAATTTATATATTTGTTCTGCATAGGCAATGGCTCGTCTACTATTTGGCGTACCTAATAAGAAATTAATTTTGTTCATAATTTTGGTTGAAAATCGCCTGTTTGAAAGTACTTTCGAAAAAAATTTATTTTATATTTTCTATGTCAGCTCTAAATTTAGATACCTACGTTATTTCAATAAAAGGTGTCAGAATTTAAAGAAATCCCTTATTCCTTTCAGGTGTAGCCACACCAAAAGGTCGACGAGGCCACACTTCCTTGGTGCACAATGGATCAATGCTGATTTATGGTGGTTATCAGGATTTACGAGGCTCTTGCGGAGAATTATGGGCATTTCATTTTGGTAATGAATTTATGTTACTGTTCAAATAATTTGCGGAATTTAAAATTAAGAGGTTTATTTTGAAGTACTGTTTCAGGCGAGCTATCGTTTTCGAAATGCGCGATATTTTTAGAGTTTTTCGTTTTTTTTTTTTTAATTGAGTAATTATAGAAATGAGTAAATTGTCAACTAAAGCTCAAATGCCGCAAATTTTTAATAAAGAAATAGTGAACCTTACCTACCTTATAAGTGATAAATAACTTCTCACCGACTTCCCCACCATGTACAGTTTTTCCTTACTAATAAAAATTTAGTACTAAATTGTAGCAATTCTGAATACATACCTACTCCAGGAACACCAATTTACCTCAAAAATAATTGATAGGGCGGAGTTTATCTTATCGACAGAATAGGCCAGAATTTTCCAGGCTATTGTCTGGATCTCCTGAAATCTTAATGAATAATACTCTAATATCTAGGACTCGATAGAATCAGTCACAAGTCACGGCCAGCGGTTCTTCTTTATCACGAATAGAATGACAGTTTCAACGCCGTTTGTTCAGTTGGTAACAAGACTGCAGAATACACCAGATTGATTGAATTGGAAAGGGAGCTCTTACAGTTTACAAGCAGCACGTAGACGCGCATATGGTCCATTGCTCTTGGTGCAGCCCTGTCTTATCTTAGTCTACAACTTTCAAGAAAGATGCAGACTGCTCAGGCCGGACATGCTTTATTTCACCAGGTTCCAGGAAACTGTACCCGAGGTATCATAGTCTGCGATTGACGAGGGCGTCACATTCGCAGACCATATGCTGCATAACCTGCATTCCATCTCATTACTGAGTTCGAATTTGCCCAGGTGGTATCTGGCCACCCAGTGCCCCGCCAGGACGCCTGTGATGGCTCTTAGTTGGCTCCTGTTTAGTTTTTTAGTTTTATGAGGCTCTGTGCCTCTTTGCAGTTTCAAGGACCTTGTATAAAGATCCTTGACTGTCTGAGGCCTTCCTGTTCCAGCCATTCGTCTTGGAACCGGTTGTTGGATCGCTGGGCTTTCACCAGGCAGGAAGCAACCCCGAGAGCAGGCTCGGCCACAATAAAGGCAGTGTTGCTACCTTCACTAGCCAGCTGGTCCGCCTCTTCGAGCTTTTTATGCCCCTATGATCCAGGACCCAAAGAAGGGTGACCTTGTTTAGCCCACTCATTAGTTTAAGAGTTGTCATAGAGTCAAGCGTAAGCCTCGAGTTGACCTTGCCTGAGCCAAGGGCTGCTCGGAGTGCTGCCTGACTGTCGTTGCATATATAAATATGCTCGCTGGAGTAACCTCTCTGGAGATTCTCCTGAGCACATACCTGTATGATGTAGATCTGTCTGGTATACCATTGGGTATCGACCCAGTGCAAGACTAATTCTCGCCACAGGTCTCTCTCCATATACACCAGATCCTGAACCTTTCCCCATCAGAGACCCGTCTGTGTACCAGATGAGCCCCTTCGGCTAGAGGAAGCCTGGGTCAGGTTCTAGCCAGTCGTCGTTTGAAGGGATGACGACTTTGTATTTTCTAGGGGGGACTGAAGTTTTTGGCATTGCATCCCTTCTGGTGAGAAGGATGTTCTGTCTGATAATGTCAGTCCATGCCCTTACATGTCTCATATTCAGGTCTCTCTGAACCCATTGTCCACAATCGTTGAGTCTGACAGGAGCCTCCCGAGCCCGTGCCTCCTCAAGAGATGAAGAGGCATTACTCCCAGCATGGCCCCCATTGTCAGCGTTGGAGTGGTTCTAAAAGCTCCAATTGTAGCCATGGAGGCAAGTCGTTGGAGCTTGTCAAGCTCTGACCAGTTGGTGGTGGATTTGCTAAGCGCGTTCGAACAAACTAAGCTGCCGTACCTGATCATTGGCCTTATGAATGCTGTGTAAAGCCAGTTGACTATGTGAGGTGGTAAGCCCCAATGGATCTTCTACAGGCCCAAAGGGTAGCAGTGGCCCTCTGGACGACCCTGTTGACGTGATCTTTCCAGGTCAGCCTGGAATCAACGATGACTCCTAGATATTTTACCGTGTTGGATGGAGCAAGTCTCGAACCAAAAAGCGTGAGCCTTTCCAGGTCCACGTTTCTTAGCTTTGTGAATGGTACTACCTTCGTCTTGCATGATTCCTTCAATGGCTCTAGGTACCCTACCAGCCTTGTCGTCCGCGTAGCCTTGAGTGTACATACCTTCCTCGTTCAGAGTGCGGAGCAGCTCATCCAGTACTAGACACCACAGCAGAGGCGATAGTTCGACCCTCTGTGGGCAGTCTTTAGCTATGGTTGCGCTGATTTTCGCACTTCCAATCGAGCTTGTAAGGATTCTGCTTTCCAGCTTGACGCAGATCCATTTGAAAATGGTGATCTCTATGCCAAAGCTTTCTGCACCATTTTTCTATCGAGAATATACCAGAAAGACAACATGAATTGTTCATACGAATAAGCGTCATGATTGTATATAAAATTTGATGTGAAAAATTGGAAAAACGATTCTCTAAATAACTGAAACTGACAACTTATTGTTGAACCAGACTGACGCTCACAGTAGTTGATAGCTGCTACAAAATGGAAGCTCGTAAATAATGTATTCCACTTCCAACAACAAAACTGTCGCACTACAAAAGTCGCCCCTCTGCGATTGCCATACCAAAAATGTCTATCCAAATTCCCATATGAAATATATTTTTTGAATTAACTTTTTCTTTACGGACGGACCGCCAACACAAACATTGAACTTTATCGATTAATAAAGGCATTGTTTACAGACACGGAATCGTGGCATCTTGTTTCGGTGCCTCCAAACAAGCCCAGCGATCAATTTCCCTTCCCCAGGCATAAACATTCTGCCGTTGTTCATGGAGAAGCGATGTGGATTTACGGAGGTAATAATGTTTGTCTTCGAGATTATTATTTTCATAAAAGGATACTCTTTCGCTGTTCTATCAAGAAACAAGCCATAGGAATAACTTTTCATTTTATGAGACAGAATAATAGTAAATAAAGTTGTTTGTTTGATCAGGAATGACCGACTTAAATGAACGCGGCGACCTTTGGAAATGGGATTTTTATACAAAAACATGGACGAATATCAAAAGTAAATTGAACCCAGGCCCCCTTCATAGCCACGCTTGCTGCAAAATGCCTTCTTCCATGATTATTTTTGGCGGAGAACGAAACGGCCAGAGCTCTAATGATCTTTGGAAATTCAATTTTGGTATAAGTTTTTAAATTGATCTCATACAATTAATATATTTGATTATTCTATAGATATCGAATCGTGGGAAAAAATTATAATATCGGGCCTCAAACCTCAACCAAGATCAGAAAGCCGAGCCTTGATAGTATCCGAATTACTACTGAAAGGCTCTTCAAAAATGTCTTTAGAAGCAAAATCTGTTAAAATCAGAGCTAGAACAGCCAATTCTGCCGACAGAGGAAACAGACATTCTTCGTATCTTCCAAATAATAGAGTTGCTCCTTGCGAGAATACTTATATTTTCGAACCGACTCAGATAAATTATAATGATGGTAAGTATTAGAGTTAGAAATCCCTAATCATTATTACCTGTTACTCTGCAGATAAAAATGTCCAACCATATTTTCCAATCCATTTTAGGTAGTAATCTTGCCCAACAATACTCCGAACCATATAACAGAGCTTCCAAAGGTAGTTTTTTACAAGAAATATCAAAATTTTCTCAATTAAATATTTCAAGAATGAACAATAAATGTAACTATACGATTTTGGCTAAAGGCACTACCACAGACAGTACCGAAAGTTTGCTGAAACAACATGCAAGTCCGCAGCAGGAAATTAATACTACTTTGATTGAACCAGAAGTTACGGCTACGCCTTCTAGAGGTAAGAACAAAGTGCCCTAAAAGTAAATTGATAATTGTGAGTCCAATATTACAGAATTAATACAAGCTGACGTAATGTGAAATTGTGCAAAACTTTTAAGTAAATGAGTATCACGTAATGTAAAATTGTGGAAAGCATTTAACTTAAAATCAAGTTGAAGAAAGTTTTGTTAAACTGCTTATTCGAGTTTCTTGATAATCGCTGGCGACAAATTCAAAAACTTGAAGAAGTGATATTCGGCAAAAAACTTTTTTATTGATTAAAGATAACGCTCCTGTAACAAAAGTTCAGTAAGGAAGTATTTTGAAGCCTGATGGAAAATTAATTAAATTTTAATGGCAAGCCAAAACTATTTACAAAGTTCATGAAGTTTTTCTTTTAATTAGATTTGTGCTTTTGATGGTATTCTTATTAAAATTAACACACGCGATTTTTTGTGACTACATATTTTATAGGAGGTTGAAAAAAATATTCTGTGTTAATATTGGATTAAAACCATTACTACACTTATAACACTTACACACACTTTTCAGCATACACTATTTAAATACAGGTCTTGCCTGTTTTATTAGGTACACACGTATTCGAATAGGTAACTTTCTTAGGTACACTTTAGCCTTCCATTGCTTACATATGCTAAAACAATTAGTTTCTAGAATCGTAGACCCGTATCAAATCAATGTTTTATATTTTTTCTGTATTTGTGCATTAATATTTTGGCATTTTTTGAAAATCATCAGCTTTTGATGTTTCAAAAATTTTATAAAGAATCCGAAGAACCCCATAGTGAGGTAATGGCAAATGGAATTGCACACTTAACGCTTGTAAGAATTGTGACTTCACCTTCCAAAAAAAATATTCCTATCAGATCGGCCAGACTGTCAATAGAATACATTTTGTTAATTGCTAAATATTAACGAAGTATTTTATGGCATCTTTCATAAAATATTGTGTGATTGCAACTATAATATCTGAATACAATGCAAAAACCATGAGTGTACTTAGTTTGAAAACTATTATCGTAACGCTTTAATCTGTTAAGTTCATAAAGCTATATTTGTTGGCTTGCAATGTTATTGCTTTATGTTTTAGCGCTTGAACGCACTTTTTCAAGGAAATAATACCCCATTATTTCTAGGAACAATGGTAAAATCCAAATCAGCCTTCGTAATAAAAAAGAAATACTCGGAAAGCTCACAGTCTTCCGAAGAAGAAGGAGCAGAAGAAGAGGTAAAAGCAACCACCAGGAAGAAGAGGGTCGAGTTTGACAGTACAGTAAAAAAAATACCTCGCGAGCCAATATCTGTGCCAAATTTTAGTGTATTGAATTTACACACTCCAGTATTAACCCCTGTAGAAGCTTCTAAGCTAGTTTATTTGACTGACGAAGAGACCGATATTGAATCTAAAGTGCCTAGGGATAGATCTATAACAGAAGTAAGTGTTTACTACAAATTTTAAATTAATATCTCAATAGTTGATGTACCTTCATGATCTAGACTTTTGCAGCTTTTGTTCCCATTATCTTGGAAAATTTCTGCAAAATATATATACACTATTTGGTTACTAGCTAGTGTAATAAGGAACATTATTAAAAATCCATCAAAGCACTGATATATTTGGTTTCTCATATTACGCCCTCACAGCAAGTCAGTTTGTCATTTTTCTAATTAGGTCCTCCCACCATTTATGCGTATTCTTGGTACAGGGTAATTTTTTCTGCAGTAGAGCGCATTGGTCTTATGACTGGTGGTATAAACTGATATCCATAGATTGCAACAAGCCAAGGATGGTTGGCGGTATCGTGACATATGTTTCGTCATGTTGAACTTTGGCCTCTGGTCTCTTAGTACATTTCCGTCAGCCTGTGAGAATTAATTCTCGTTGTCTTTTTATAAAACAGATTCATATCAGTCAAGTCTCCCTTATCTAGATGCTTTATATGCAATATTGGATTTTTTCTGATATGGATTTCTCTGTGAATTTGTTTTTAAACATTTTGTGTTACCTCTTACTGATCCTTAGCGTCTTTTTGATGTCAAACTTCTCTTTGTTCTTCCTACTGGGCTGCTGAGGCATTTCGTAACCAGTAACCACCAAACGAACATGTTCATCATCACATGAGAGCCGAACGTGGAAGGCTCTCAAAGCGTCTGCGCAAATTTCTGGAAACATTTTTTAAGAAAGATGGCAGAGCTAAGTCGCTAACTTCTGCAAAAGGGGATACCTATTTGAGAATTCAATAAAGAAGAGTTGTTATCCAAAAGCTTTCAGGATGACATTAGAAAGGAATTCCTGAAATTTCTAACTCGCCCAAGTTAAACCTAAATTTTCCGTCGTCTGAATTTGAAATTTGACATGAAACACTGTGATTCCTTTGTAAATGACTTAAGAATGCTTGAATTTTCCTGTAGATGAAGTACAGTCTATCCAAGTCATGAAAACAGGAATATGCCTGTAAATGCCTTCTATCTCGTTTAGAACGTATGGTACGTTTTATTTTCACCGTTGTCAGGCAATACTATATTTCTACTGCGAAAATGTATCGACAACCAGGCTGCCAGGATTCGAGGAATGGAGCTGTTTACGTCTTCCATTATATTCGATAAACACATTTTTCTAAATAGATTCCGAGTACTATTTCGAGCATAAAGAGCGCAGTAAGGTTCAGTTTAGTTTATCTACCAAGTTTATTGATATTTAGACACATAATATTATACTAGCAACGCAATAATGTTGAATTGTCTTAAAGACTTTCCCAATTAGGTTCTGATTCCAAAATAATGCCAGCGAAAAGCTTCGAGATGAAAACCACCAATAGTGCATATAAAACAAAATATATTTGATTTCTCTAGGTGCAATCTGCAGACGAATCAGACGGGTACGAGAATCTGCAACCCTTAAAACGGGGTGACAGTTACAGCTCACACTTAGGATACGCCGATAACCCGCTCTACCATGAAATGCTCCAGAAAAAATCCGAGGAAAATGTATCTTCAACTTCGGATTATTGCAGCATAGAAACTGTAAATAGGTTATCTTCTGCTAGTAGTTATAGCGTTAAAACTAACACCCCTCAAGAAGAAGTTTTAAAGAATAAAGATAATATTGTAAGCTATTTTTTGACTTTTATAATATCAATCAATCATCAACTGACATTATTGTTATAGAAAGAGGGGATGTTCGGTTTTTGTAATCCAAATTACATGGGTCCAGCGGTGAAGTCAATGCTGACAAGTGAAGAGAAGCAAACAGTGAGAAAAATGCTTTCGGCTGAACAACCAGGCTCAAAAGATCCCGACGAAGAAGTTTTAGAATTGCTTAGCTATGATGGTGTTTTAGATAAAAATACTAAAGTAGTTTACAGACATTCCAGTAGATCAGTAAGACCTTGGAACCTTCCCCTTAACAAAAATGTCAAACGTGGTGGAATCAACCAAGTCAGAGCTCACAGCGCTGGCAGAACGGATGCGAAAAAGCAAGAGAAGAAAACCCAAGATTTCCAAGTTGAGCGTATAGACCCTTTCGTACCTTTGTATGTTTACATTATTGGAGGTAAAGAGCAGGGTCATGTCACGGTATTTCAAAGGCCGTTATCAATTTGGAGGTTAAAGTTATTTTAAAAGATAATGTTCAAAATAGGAAAAAGGAAAATTCCGCTAGTTCAAAAAAAATGTGCCAATTACTTAGTCCTAGTGCTAGCGTACATTAGATTTCTATTTTTAGCGATTGGAAATTTTGCTCAGATTAGTTTAATCGTTTTTTAGCTGGAACAGTATTCCACTAATACCAAAGACCTCGTTAGAAAAAAAAATTAGCTTGAAATGCATTCGATCAATCAGTTAGGCCTCTGTAACGAAATTAGCGCACTGGTTTCGAAATGGCAACACACAGAAAGACTGTTCGTTTTACGTAATTGGCCTCCGTCTTGCTCGTGCACATCAAATCTGTAAATGGCTACCAACCAAGATTTGCCCTTGGAATCAGATGCCAACTATTCATCATCAAATCTTGGTCAGCTTAGTACCTTCAACCGGAATAGAAGCTTTCGATGGGCCTGAGAAATATTTCAATACTGCTACTGTAGCAACAGTTTGTAGGTGTTACTTATATTTGTCGAATCATCTGCGCAATACATTGTGTTCTGCAAAAAGTGAGACTTGCAGCCATTGTGTAAACAGGGACAATTTTACAAAGTAATTCCGAGTAAGATGAAGTCAAAGGCTTCTTCAGCTTCACTCGTTCCGTCTGTCAAAACTTCTAGATGCTGTTCCAGAAAGTTTAAGTAGGTGTGTCATTAAAGTTGAAATTGTTGCTGATGCTTGAGTTGTTGCAGGAAGTTCTGAATTATATATTCCTCTCATTTGTAAATATACCAGTAGGTATTCATCGTGAATACACAAATTTGCGACTAACAGTAGGTAGGTACTTTAATTCATGGGAATGCCAGGAAGAACTCAGAGCCCTGGCATCCCAAAATAAGGTAAACCTTATGTGGGTGCCAGGACACGAAAAAGTTGACGAACTCGCAAAGAGAGGATCAGGGACGAAACTTATCTGGCCAGAGCCGACTTTAGGGATAGCAAACAGTATGACCAGAAGCTACATCAAAGACTGGATTCTTAAAAGCAGGGTCGGATTAAGGTCTTTTGGGGCCCGGGTATATTTTCACAAAAGGGGCCCCTAGGCCCCTGAAATAAATTCAAACAAAACTTTACCTTGCAGGTGCATTTATTACAGTGACTTTATACAAGACAGTGGCGACAGTGGGTTGTCTCATTTTTGATTGGTTCTCAGAATTACGTAGTTCATCCGCCATGTTTTGACAAAAGGAATTTGTTTTTATCATTTAATCCTATGGAGTTTTATGCAATTTTGTTTTGACAAAACATGGCGGGTGGGCCTTAAAGTGCTGTAGCTTTTATGCGGATAGTGCGTCATCTATCAATAATTATACCAGCTACTCAATAATAATATTAGAGGGCAGTGTTGTGTTTGATATAATTGATAGATAATAGATGGCGAAATCGAAATTGTAAAATTATATGCATGATTTCTTCCCTGTGTGAGGTGGTGTTTTGGGGCCCCCTCATTTCGGGGCCCGGGGCTTTAGCCCCCAAAGCCCCCCCTTAATCCGGCCCTGCTTAAAGGACATCGACACTACTGGACACATTCTAGGCAGAATTATGGTAAGGAATTCATCGACCAGCCATGCAGAAACTGGACCGCAGAAGTGCTACAAATGACTAGAAGCGGACTAAGTACTTCAAAGGCCCTTATGACAAACCACACACCGGTAGGTATAGGTCCACCTGAACAGAATGAACCTGTATGGCGGAGACCATAACTGCAATGAGGAACCCGAGACAGCCAGACACATCCTGGTAAACTGCGAGGCACTGGATCGCAGAAGACAACATTTTCTTCGAGCAACCAAACGTAGTCCTGGAAACTTGGCATAATAAGCCTTCTCAGGCTTCAGTGCTACATTAGGAAAATAAGTCGAACAGGCCTGAGCCTGATCTCAGATGATCAAACTGAAAGATTTCATGGTATTACATATAAAAACTATTTATCTTGTTTCAAAATGAATAAACCTAAAACACAATCATGAGAAGTTTTCTTAGAAGATACGCTTCACTCAATCCGTGCTTTATTGTATTCCACTTTTTTGTATCCCTCATGCACCCATGCAAGAAAATCTACAGGTATTTTCATAAAGAAAAACTCGGCATTTCAAAAAAACAACATCTCGTCAAAAAAGTAAAGGCAAACCCTGAGTATGCCCTGGTACAATTCATAACCTCAGTTTCGTTACAGATGCATTAATTGGATATAGTTACTATCGGCCACCAAGCCGACCCAGCGATAACATTTTTGTGTGTCTATTGATCCAATTTTGTTCTATATCCCTTGGTATCACCTGAGAAATGCACTAATTACATAAATTATGCCTAATACTTGTACAGCAAAGCTCACAAACCTGAAGTTCCTTAAACTCTTTTGCAAATATTTCTTCACGCAAATATTGTATGTAACGTTTTGCTAAATGTAGGTTTTTTTTTTGTACTTAGTACAATATCCCATTAAGCTAGAAAATACGCTAGTATTAAAACTGAAACCCCCAAAATAAAATCAAAGACTAATTAAAAGTAGATAGTTTGTACTTTTGTAGCTAGTTGGACTTAAAAGGCTGCTAGCGGTTTAGTTTAAATGTATTTTAAATTTATAGATCAATGAGATCAAAAAAGTGAAACTTCGTCCATCAAAATTCCGTTCCGTTCGTGTATTTTAGATTTGTAAGAATTGTCAGTTTTTTTTTTCAGTGATTTTGCCAGAAAAGATAGATTTTTTTGTAAGTAATTTTTTGTCTTTATCATATTGATCATATTCAAGCATTTAGACAAAAAACATCCCTATCTCAGACGGACTTGATATAAGGATGATATTGAGAAAAAGGGGAAATCTAGCGTCACAGTCTCACAAATTATGTAGAAAAAGAAGTATCAGACCTAAAATGAAATAAATATACCCTCACACGAATTCAACAGTTAAAATCTTGAAACAAGCAAAGAACATAATAACATACTGTAATTTTGAAAATTTGGATGTTTCTGGTTTAACTTTTCACGAAAATTTTTGTCTTTGTTAATGCTGCTAAGCTAGAAATTGATCAACACTATAAGGACTAAAATTCCATCAACTTTTTTTTTTTTGTCCTTTATTGACGTTACTTTGTACGATTCCAAGTTCAAAGATGAGATTCTGTCATTTGGTAAAGCTGTTTTTCCGGAGATTATGTGTAAAGCTTCATAATATCAAGATTACACAGAGGTGAACCATGATTTCTGACATTCCCACTCAGTATAGATTTACTTTAGAAGTTTCAAACATTTTTTTCATATCAGTTTTATGAGCCTAACTGATTCAATTGACCAGGAAGTTGATTGAATATATTGTAAGACTGTGACTTTGAGTTTCCCGTTTTACCCAATCTCGGAGGATTTTGAAAATTTGTTTTAATCCTTTCACATTCAAGATTGTTCCGTTGAATGTTAGAGTTTTGTTATATGTATTATTGTCCTTTTGAAATTATGACGCACTGACCAAAGGCGTTGAAATAATATTTACAATAAAATATTTTCTACAACTTCTATACCTTGACAAGCATTTGAAAACGGCGTCTCAAAAATAGCACAAATTTAGACAAGTAACCAATTTTTATATACAGGGTATATATTTTAAGTGATACCACTATTGCTATATACGAAACGGTAAGAGCTACAAGGTCGGTTAAATTAGGAAAAAGTTGCCTTTCTTGATGCCCATTTAAGTCTCGTTTACAGTTTTGCCAAATTATTTTTAGTTTATGAAATACAGGGTGATTTCTTAAAAACGCCAAAAACTATTTCATCAATTATTTCAAAAACTATCGATATTCGAGACACAATTTAAATTTGAAAGTTTTATAATTTTTTTCGCCCTACAACATGGCATCTTCAAATTTTAAATCCGACGCATCGTGATCGAGCTTCCATCATCAACTTCATTTTTTTTAATACGGACCTGGTTTTTTATATCATTTTTACAAAGGGAATAAAAGGCACTTTCTAAAAATGACATAAAAAATCCAGGTCCGTAATTAAAAAAATGAAGTTGATGATGGTTGCTCGATTACGAAACATTGGATTTGAAATTTGATGACACCATGTTGTAGAGCGAGAAAAATTAAAAAACTTTCAAATTTAAATTGTTTCTCGAAAATCAATAGTATTCAAAATAATTGATGAAATAGTTTTGGGCGTTTCTTAGAAATCACCCTGTATTTCATAAACTAAAAAGAATTTGGCAAAACTGTAAACGAGTCTTAAATGGGCATCAAAAAAGGCAACTTTTTCCTAATTTAACCGACCTTGTAGCTCTTACCGTTTCGGATATAGCAATAGTCGTATCACTTAAAATATATACCCTGTATAATTATTTTCTATTTTCGTAAACGTCGACCTATTTGGTTCCTTTTGGTTCTCAGGTATTAATTGTTAATTATTTTGAACATCGTTTATATTTGAGATTTGTGCAATATTATCATATCATTTTATTATTAGATTGTTGTTTTTTTTTGCTTTGTTAAACTTTGATCTTTTATGTAAAAAAATGTGTTGTGTCTTAACATTGTTGTTTTGTGAAGACAATTTTTATATTTGTGTTGTGTTTCAAATTAATTGAAAATACACACATCAAAATAGTCTAGGGAACAAGATGCAACTAAATACATTTATAAATTGAACAAAATATATTTTTAAAAGATTTTTAAATTTTGTTAAAGCCTGCTGGAAAAGCCGATATGATAAATTTTACAAGATTTGTTCAACAAATACCCGTATGGTATCTTTTAAAAAAAAGTTATTCTGTCTAAAAATTAAAAGACGAATATTTCTTGTTCCCTAGACTTTTTTGATGAGTGTATATAACAGAGAAGAGAAACTAGAGAGTTTCCTAGTTAGTAGAGCTACCCAACTACAACAATAAAAAAATGTTTTTGAGTGAAACAAATTCTAGCGAAATTATTAACAAAGAATTTTAAAAATTTTGAATGCTCATTTAGGACTCTCGATTTATTTCAGATGTTGCTCAATATTTAAAAACTGGACTTTACTTTATTTCTTCTCTGAGATAAGTTCATATTAGTTATTTCATTGAAAGCAAATCTTAACCAAACCAGTGGCAGAAGATTCAAAAATTAGGTAATAAGGTTTTAAAATGTTAGAAAGTTTATTTTTTTAAAACCGTATCTTATTATAGATGATTTGCTGTACCATCTTACGTGTAGGTATTCACTATTTAGTAAATAAAAGTTGTAGTGTAGAATAATAAAATATTGTTTTATTGTATCACAACATCATAATCTTCTGGAAAAGTTCGTTACGTAAGCAGGCTCGTAAGTAAGTGAGACGTCTCCTCCAAAATTAATTTACCTTTATTTGAAATATTAAGCACAACACTGCGTTCAACTGCAATCAGGCTCAACTACTCACAAAACTAAATCACAACTCGATGTCTTACTATCAACTCGCGTTCCACTGACTGATTATCTTCAGATCTAATCGGGAAGGAAGTTGCTTAAGCAAGGCATAATAAGCCTTAAGGCAGCAGTGCAAATCGGGCCACGAGCACGCCTGACCCCGCCTTAAACCAAACAACCAATCTCTCTCGGTGGCCGATCCGATTTATAACGCATCATCGCCTCCAAAATTGACTAAATAATTCCCTTTCATTCGTTAATTGTGATGCTCTGTGATATATTTAGGCCGATTCTTGATTTGTTACTCCCCGTATCGAGAAGTGCATCTCAAACGGTTTTGCCTTATTTCATTTTTCTATATCAGTAAACTAACCAACAACTTAATATTCTAAATTCCATGGCATATGGAGCCCTATGTAGGTACTAACATTCCTAGTAAAAGATTCAACGAATAATTAATAAAATGTACCTATCTATCAAACTCCATAGAAATCGCCTGTCATCCATCGATTATCAGATTTCGGTAAGGATGGATACATTTCTCAGACGTGAGTGAAAGCCTTCAGATGGCGCTTGTGTACTTGCCAGTTAAACTGCTAAAAGATGGTGCTACTTCACTGGTTAATACAATAGAATTTTTTATTCCAGTAACTCATGAAAATAAACGAAAAAGCGGATATTTGAAAAGTACCTAAATGAAGTTTTTATATAATCCGTCAACGTCGAGCGTGTCTTATTGGCAAATGATGAAATGCCAGTCGTTTCTCCTAAAATTACGAGGAAACTGAGTAGCTATCACCTTTATCATCAAAAATTTAAACCGTTTGAATTGAAAATGCTATTGAAATTCATTGATGCATATTTATATATCGAGTTTTTCCTACCAAATCCCTTCTGAATTATAGTAGAGATTGCAGACAAATTTAAGGATCCAACGTTAATACATTTTTCTTATCTCTCTAGATTCCTACGTGCGTTATTCTTTGGGTAAAATAAAACGAGAAAAAAAACATGTATTTCTTTTATTTCTTTTTACATTTAAGAACATTGAGCAATAAATTATAACATTCATAATTCGCTATAGATAGTGAATACATATAGTTCTATTTTGAAACACAGAGAGATTGTAGTTACCTATGTAAATTTATCAATGCAGAGATTATTATGGCTTGGAATAGGCAAGGCAGAAACATCAACAAATTAAGATTTTATTCATACTGCTCATATAAGTTAATTATATTTTTCATAATATTTGTGTTATAACAGGTAAGTATTTAAAAAAAATATTTAGTGAGTTTATAGATATGTATAAAAATCTATATATTTGTCATACAAATTTTAACAGTCAGGTATGTGATTGCTTTCAAAATAAGAACCGCCAAATAAATACCATTCAATAGTTTATAATGTATGAGATAAACACACAGATAGTTTTAGAAACAACTTTAAGCTATCATTTATTTATTTTATTTGTTAAAATACTCCTGAATTGCAGGAATATTTCAAAACAAATTCTATAATTTCAATATTATACCTAATTTCACATCATTTATTTACCTTATATTAGTACTAATAATATATGTAGTTGTTAACCTGGTCAGGATGATATGGGGTCAATTTCTCAGAATTAGTTTACACCAATAAGAATTCTTAGTCTACTGGATGTGGAATGATCTCTTTCTAATAAGATAATCATATCACGACAGGTCTTATTCTAGAAATTAAATAAATCAACACTAAATGACATGAGAAACGAGTATGTTATTATTGTTTTAGCTAGCCACTCAAATGTTTTTCCTGTGCAGCTTCAAGTTAATTGAGCTGCTCCCCCTCAGAAAGTTAAAGCATGTTCTAAATTAGACACCTCGATCGCAAGGTAAACGCCTTGGGCAAAACCCTCATCAAATTCTTGTAAAGTTGCTCTGATAGGATGGAATCCGGAAGGAAGTGTCCGATTCAATTTTACAAGATGTTGGCGAAATTATCCTCAATAAGGAAGCTTTGAGTTGATGTCGGCGTCGATATCTTTAGAGAGTTTTCCGAATGCTTTCGATAAATCACAGAACACTGCTTTGAAACCTTATAATATGTAGCTTGGACAAAAAATTAAACAGCGTTTGAAGTTTTTTTATCTGATTGAAAACCTATTGCTGATGAAAACTCAGTTGACATAATGTTAATCAATCTCACAATATCAATTTATGAAATATCGGTAGCAGCGAGATTAGATGATAATTAGAGGGATTTATGTAATCTCCGCCTTTGTGAAGGGGGATTATTTTTGCTGTGTGTGGGTGAGTAATCTGTTTCAGAAGGAAAATTAATTATATCCGATAATATATAGCGATGTGGGGGTTTTCCTTTATGATTTGATCTTCATCAGCAGCCCTTTTAATTTTCCTGGCTTTAATTTACGCAGAGAAGTAGGAGAAAGATAAAATAATCACCTGAAAGATTGCGTTGGGAAATACAGAGTAAACGTCCATTTTGAGGCTGTCACTCAACAATCAACCAGGGTACTATCTTTACCTATTGATGAACTTTAGTAGGTGTTTTGACTAGTAAAGGCTTCTAGAAAAATAAATCATATTTGTCCCTATGGACCGTGTTGTGATCAGACAAATCTTTTAAATTAAAAGACACGCAATAAATGCTCTGCAAACATAATTTCCAAATTATAATAGCTTACTCGTTTCTTATGCCAGTTATTTTATTTAGCTGTAGAACAAGAGCGGAACATCAAACATACAGAAATTCATATCCATGAACTGTTTCTAGGGTACAATGGCACATGACATATTTATTCTATTTGAATATAGGATAGAATTGTATGGGGACTGGCATATTGCAATAATCAACTTTAGACTCGGCTACAATTTTCGCTCATACAATATTTCACAATAGCTTCTCATACTCCATCCACGTAATGTAATTTTAAATATAGGCAGATCTGTCAAAATAAATTACTGTCTCATAAAAAATAAACATTTTAAATTCGTTTCTCCTATCTTTATATTCATATAAACAATTCAGATCACAAGGCTTCGAAATCTACACATACTTACTTAACGCCGTCTCCTCTTGCTTTATGCTGGAAGATTTCTGAAAAATAGGAAATTTGAAATTAGATTTGAGGTAACAGTTTTGGCGATGTAATAGGGGATCATGTGGAAGATGATGGAAAAATTTACGAATTGAATCATATAAATACACAAAGGAAGCAACTACCTCAACTTTTCCATTCAAAGTATCCATTATTTAAATGATATTTTTTAATAATTCTGGGTATTGAATCCTCAACTAGTTGCTTTTAGTATGCCCGCCAAGTCCTACTTACACAACTTTTGAGGTTACGTACCGCAGCTTTTAAATTTCTTGATAGAGGAAAAGTTACCTTATGTTTTAAACTTATCGTTGCCTCCAGAAATCTGAGCACCAGCCAATTTCCATCTTTTAATTCTAGAGCTTGGTAGATCTTGCTAATTGAAGTTTTTCATCCAATTTAATAATATATTTTATTGTGAACAAATATGTCTTAGTAACTATAGGGGAACAATATACGCATATACCTGTCAGGGTTTAATTCCTCTAGCAAATAATATTATAATATAACTATTCAAATTTGTCATGAAATATCCGGCAGCAGTTTCGAGTTGAATATGGTAACCTTCGTCCTTATTCAACTTGCCTTTAGGTTAATGATTCAGACGAATTGAATTCAATTTTATTTTCGACATTGTATGAACTTTATTCAGCTTAGAAATATATTAGTCTTGACCTGTTGTTGCCAGTAAGTAATTGCTGTCATGGGATTGATTAGCGGTTAACTATTTTCTGCCGAATTTAATTTAACTTTGGGATATACTGAAACGCAGATTTTCTTCATGAATGTCTACTCGTCTGTTAATTACCTGTCCTTATCGATGTCTATGAAGAAGAGATCAATAAGTTCGTATACTCAAGATACTTTTTAAAATGATGATTTTTTTTCAAATTGGGCTGCTTGCTATCCAATTTGATTTATTCTTTTTTTCAATCATATTGTTTTTATGATTGTATGGTCCAATGCGATTTAAATTCTCGAAAAATGGTTTTTACTTGCCTCAGTAGTAAGGGAAGTATTCACGTAAAAATCAACCTCGAGATTTTCTCATACGTTTTCAGGTCCCTAAATTACAAGAATCGAGAATACGTTTACTTATCCTCAGGTCTTGGTGTTCTGATTTGTATGTCGGACTTGGATTGCCCCATAGCGATAAAAACCCTCTTCTGGCATCGGCCTCTATTTCCTCCGCGGAACGGCCATTAGGCATTATTTTACAGAGGAAGGGTCTAGCTATACCTCTCCTTCAGATAGAAGGAGTCATGATTTTTTTTCTAAGATTTTCTATCCTTCGACCACTCTTTTTCTATGCGACAGAGTTCCTGGAGGACTTCAGTAGCAAATTAACTCGTTGCTTCCCAGACAGCTTTTGATGAGAGCATAGCTCTCACCAAAGACTCTGGTTTGAGATTCTCTTCAAGAACAATCTCCCAAGTACTGCGGGGCGTGTTGAAACGAGGGCATGTGAGGAACACGCGCTCCGCATCTTCATTAAATCCAGCGCAGGTCGGGCAGCCGGGAATCCTTTTTCTTGAATCTATGAAGGCATTCGCGGAAGCACCCATGTCCTGAAAGCATCTGCTTCAGGTAGCAGTTTATCCAGGCATCGACCTGCGGAATCAGGCGATGAGTCTAACTCCCCTTGGTCGAGGCGCCCCATAGCCATCGACGTAGGTATGCTATTGCGTCTCACTTCTGTTCTCAGCTCTACTGGCTTGAGTATCGTCGATCCTTTGTGCCGGTACTGGT